GGCATTCCCCCTCTTCATGGTAAACCTTGTAAAATAAGAGAGAATAGCCATAAGTATTGAGATAAAATGTGTAAAAACAGCCCATAATGCAATAAACATTGATATAAAAGCATGATACAAACTAGACGTGTTTGTCGAGATCCGATGAATTGTGAGTTTATGATCAAGTTTATCTATGAGAAATTTTTGAATCTCCTCTGAATTCTTTTATGTATGATTGGTTATCTTTGCAAGTCTCTTCGAATTATCAGTTTGGTTTGGCCTATTAGATTGATCTTTCTTGCAATGGGAGAAGTTCTTAGCTTTGGGTTCAATCTTGCGGTGTCCTTTCCTAGTGACAGTAGGGGCAGCAAGGCATGTATTGTATTGTTGCCATCGAGGATAAAAAGATGGGGTTTATATCATATTGCTTGAGTTTATCCCTCTACAACATGTCATCTTGCTTAATGCATTACTCTGTTCTTATGAACTTAATATTCTAGATGCAGGCAGGAGTCGGTCGATGTGTGGAGTAATAGTAGTAGATGCAAAATCGTTTCGATCTACTTGTTGCGGACGTGATGCCTATATACATGATCATGCCTAGATATTCTCATAACTATGCACTTTTCTATCAATTGCTCGACGGTAATTTGTTCACCCACCGTAATAATTATGCTATCTTGAGAGAAGCCACTAGTGAAACCTATGGCCCCCGGGTCTATCTTTTATCATATAAGTTTTACATCTACTTTTATTTGCATCTTTTATTTTCCAATCTATATCATAAAAATACCAAAAATATTTATCTTATCATATTATCTCTATCAAATCTCACTTTTGCAAGTTACCGTGAAGGGATTGACAACCCCTTTATCGCGTTGGTTGCGAGGTTCTTGTTTGTTTGTGTATGTGCGTGGGACTTTTGAGGAGCCTCCTACTGGATTGATACCTTGGTTCTCAAAACTGAGGGAAATACTTACGCTACTTTGCTGCATCACCCTTTCCTCTTCAAGGAAAAAACCAACGCATGCTCAAGAGGTAGCAGTGGGCTTATTTGTTGTCATTTCTAGTGACGATGCAAGAAATTAATGGCAACGTGGAACCAACTTTTATGATCGGCATCTGACTCAGCTTGGGTGCTCATCAACATAGCTTTGTGGTGCTGTCGGTAGAGCTGCGCAGGTCAATGATCTCGTGTTGATTTGGAAAGTGGAGCTCACATGGGTTCGACGAGGGCTTCATGGATACAAGCGTTGAGGTCATACAACTACGAGGTTTCAAACTTCCTATCTCTCAGACTCGGTGGCAGGGTTGGGGCTTTTCAGCTTCGAGAGCCTTCTAGAAGTTACTCCATGTGTGTGGGCTCGTAGAGAGGGTGGTTGTCAACATTAGCGCATTTGATATCGATTATGTATCTCCTTCAGGCGAGAACCCATTATCTAGCCTTCTCGCTACATCAGGAAACATCACCAACTGCACAATGTTTCCTTGTTTAAGGTGTTGGGTGCTTGGGGGTCATAGTCCCATGTTCAACCTTTGGGTTGGACCCAACGACGATTGCGTTTGAGTGACTCCTACTTGAAGACGTTGTCTTGGCGTTTTTTGCACTTTGTTAGGTCACATGTAGTTCGACATATGTATTATGATTCACTGTCATAGTGTTTGGGGTAGGTTGTGGAGATGGTGGGTGAGACAAATCCAATGTAGATGGCGTCGACGCTTCTTTCTTTTTAAGCTTTATGCTAGGTTTCAATGTTTGGCATTATTTAGTAACAAATCATATTAAAAGAGTTATACCGTAGGAGAAAAAGAGTGACATCAATGTCTTTATATATGTTAACTAATTTTATTTTTAAGTCGATGTGTTGGGTTTCAATGTTTAGCATTGTTTAGTAAAAACACATATTAAAAAAGACTCATACCAAAGAAGAAAAGAGTGAATATCAATGTCATTACGTATGTCAACTCTTTAGAGCTGGTCTAATGTGCATCTTACTGTATGAGTTATCTTTTTGAAACATCATGGCGGTACAAAGAACATCATAAGTAACAGATATTACGTCCATGTTCGTAGACCACCTATCGACGACTACAAGCACATGAACGAGTTAGAGACACGTCGTCGTCGCCCTTCCTCGCCAGAACTGGGTCAACCTTGTTGTAGTAGATAGTTGGGAAATCGTCTTGTGATGACACACAAGTGTAGGGGATCTATCGTAGTCCTTTCAATAAGTAAGAGTGTCGAACCCAACGAGGAGCAGAAGGAAATGATAAGCGGTTTTCAGTAAGGTGACTCTCCGGTAGAAACTTTGGGGAACTCTTTGAAGTTATTTGTGTTGGTTGAATAGATGAATCTGATATTGTGTGATGCATATCGTATAATCATACCCGTAGATGCTTGAGGTGACATTGGAGTATCTAGGTGACATTAGGGTTTTGGTTGATGTGTGTCTTAACGTGTTATTTTACTACGAACTCTAGGGCTGTTTGTGACACTTATAGGAATAGCCCAATGGATTGATCGGAAAGAATAACTTTGAGGTGATTTCGTACCCTACAATAATCTCTTCGTTTGTTCTCCGCTATTAGTGACTTTGGAGTGACTCTTTGTTGCATGTTGAGGGATAGTTATATGATCCAATTATGTTATTATTGTTGAGAGAACTTGCACTAGTGTAAGTATGAACCCTAGGCCTTGTTTCGAAGCATTGCAATACCGTTTTCACTCACTTTTACAACTTGTTACCTTGCTGTTTTTATAATTTCAGATTACAAAAACCTATATCTACCATCCATATTGCACTTGTATCACCATCTCTTCGCCGAACTAGTGCACCTATACATTTTACCATTGTATTGGGTGTGTTGGGGACACAAGAGACTCTTTGTTATTTGGTTGCAGTGTTGTTTGAGAGAGACCATCTTCATCCTACGCCTCCCACGGATTGATAAACTATAGGTCATCCACTTGAGGGAAATTTGTTACTGTCCTACAAACCTCTGCACTTGGAGGCCCAACAGCGTCTATAAGAAGAAGGTTGTGTAGTAGACATCATCCTCTATGGCACTAAGGCCACAGAAGACGAGGTAGGTCGATGACGTTACTAGTGGGAGGCAATGAAACTCTAGTCGGCTTGGGCGCGCACGTTTGAGCAATGACTCCTGGTTGGAGACGTTGTCTTGGAGTTTTGCGCACTTTGTTAGGTTACATGTCGTTCGACCGATGTATTATGATCTATAGTCACAATGTTCGCGGTAGGTTGTGGAGACGGTGGGTGAGACATATCCAATGTAGATGGCGCAAATGCTTCTTCTTTTTTCAAGCCGGTGTGTTGGGTTTCAATGTTTGGCATTATTTGGTCACAAATCATGTTTAAAAAGAGTTATACCATAGGAGAAAAAGAGCGAGCATCAATGTCTTTTTATATGTTAACTCCTTTTCTTTTTAAGCCGATGCATGTTAAGTTTCAATATTGGCATTGTTTAGTAACATAACATGTTAAAAATGATTTATACCGTAGGAGAAAATGAGCGAACATCAATGCCTTTATATATGTTAACTCCTTTTCGTTTTAAGCCGATGTGTTGCGTTTCAATGTTTGGCATTGTTTAGTAATAAATCACATTAAAAAAGAGTAATGCCATAGGTAAAAAAGAGCAAACAACAATGCCTTTATATATGTTAACTCTTCCTATAGAGTTGCTCGAAGGTGCATCTTACTACATGAATTATTATTTTTTCGAAAAAACTTCGAATCTATACATCAAACGTCATGCAATACAAAGAACATAAGAAGTAAACAAAAATCACATTCATATTCTTAAATCACCTAGTGATGACAACAAGTGCATAAACGAGTAGAAGACGCGCCATCGATATCGCCCTTCCCTCATCAAAACTGAGCAAACCTTGTTGTAGTAGACAGTTGGGAAGTCATTGTGTTAAGGTCCCAAAGGAACAATGCACCAGAACAACAACTGTCGCTGATGTAGAGAAGTGTAGATCGGAAGATCCGACCTATAAACACACGTACACAAACGAACAAGGACCGAATCCAAGCAGATTCATCAAAGACAAACACCGATCAAATCTCACGAGATGCACCAAAGACACACCAAGGAGAACCTTATTCCATCTTGAAGGAGTCACCGTCACCTCGTCTTCCTAAGGAAGGCACACACCCTAGGCAAAGGGAAAATACCAGGTGTTCCTGCACCTTAGGTGATACGAGCTTCTGGGCCGTTGGATCTCTGATCCAATGGCATTTGAGCGGTTATTGTACTTGTGCGCAAATCTCAGGCTCCTAGAGGGCTTTTTTTGAAAAAGTTTTAGATTCTCTAGGTGCCCTTGGATACAAGATCCAACGACTCCCAGGAGTTTGTGTCACCGTATTACCTTAGGTGCAGGAGCACCTGATATTCTCCCCTAGGCAAATTCGAAAAACATCTAAAAACCAAGCAGGAGCCTCCCGCCGACAAGGGCCGAAATCCATCATGCCTCCATGGCTCTAAGGCCACTGAAGACAAGGTAGATTGGCGGCAGCGACGACGTGAGGCAAGGAAACCCCTAGTCGGTTTGGATGCGCTGGTGTGAGTATGAGTTTTTCTTTTAATACAATATAGACACAGAAACTCATGCAGATGCAAACGCTCATCCATAAACGCGCACATGCACAACGTGCACCTCTGAGCATATTCGAGAGACTAACTGACACATCATCTTGAGATTGACGAAGTTTAAAATTTGAACTCTGATGGGCTGGGATGACTATACAAGTTAGTCCGTTGGCTCAAATTATTCGGTCTACCCCTACCGCGGTACCGCTCCCCACCCGCCCGCCACCTATTCGGCGTCGCTCCCCAGTGGCTTCCTTCCATGCCACTCCTCGGTGCCGCCTCCTCCTCCTTCTCCCCCTAACCACCTTCGCCCCGCACGCGCCATTAATAAAGCCCCGCGCCACTCCCTTCCCGGCTCCTCGCCGAGCCGCTCCATCGCGCGCCAGCGCCAGCTGCTGTCCATGGGCACCGCCGCGCGCCCGCGCGGCGCCCCCGAGCCGCTGAAGCAGCGCGTCAACCGCTGCCTCCTCCGGCTCTCGGACCGCGACACTGAGGCCATGGCGGCGGCCGAGCTCGACGCCGTCGCGCGCACCCTGGCCGCGGACGAGCTGGCGGCCTTCGTCTCCGCCGTCTCCGATGCGCGCCCCACCGACAAGACCCCGCTCCGGCGCCACTCGCTGCGCCTCCTCGCGCTCGTCGCCGCGTCGCACCCGCGCGACGCCGTCGCGCCGCTGGTCCCGCGCATCCTCGCCGCGGCGCTCCGCCGCGTCCGCGACCAGGACTCGTCCGTGCGCGGCGCGCTCGTCGACGCCGCCCGCGCCGCCGCGGCCGCGTCCGCGTCCGCCGCCGCCGCGCTCGGCCCCCTCGCCGACGCGCTCCTCCACGAGCAGGACCAGTGCGCGCAAGTCGCGGCCGCGCTCGCCACCGTCGCCGCCGTCGAGGCCTCCCCGCTCACCGCCGACCTCGCCTCCTACCTCCACAAGCTCCAGCCCCGCCTCCTCAAGCTCCTCCGCAGCAATGCCTTCAAGGCCAAGCCCGCCCTCATCGCCCTCATCGGCGCCTCCGCGGCCGTGGCCGGCGACGCCGAAGTGACCGCCTCTATCCCGTGCCTCCGCGAGGCAATCGCCAGCGACGACTGGGCGGCGAGGAAGGCCGCGGCCGAGGCGCTAGCCGCATTCGCCCTAGAATACAAGGATCTTCTCATGACCTACAAATCCTCTTGCCTTGCCTATTTCGAGGCCAGGAGGTTCGACAAGGTTGGTCTTGGGTTTGGTTGGATCTGCGTGGTGTGGCGTATTTTTCTGGATCTGTGGTTCGACGCTTAGATTTTCGGTGCCTTTTCGTCAATGTAGGTCAAGATTGTGCGGGACTCGATGAGCAGGATGATCGAGGCGTGGAAAGAGATACCAGACATCGAAGAGGAAGAATTATCCTCGTGTACGGCGCCGGCGTCACTTTCACAACGAAGATCTTCTCTCGCAGGTGATGCACATAACGTGGAACATGTCAAGTTTTGGTTGCTACTTGTGCAGATCTGATAAATTTACGGTTGGCTCAAGTAATCGTTTATACTGCTACTAGTAGAAAAGAGCCATATATTTGAGGATTTTTTTTTATAAAGAGGAAAATCATGTTGTACTAACTATTTGATTTCCTAGCAAAACTCTGAACTGTTGGGGCTCTGCTGTTTCTTTCTTTCTTGACACATATCATCTTGTGATCAAGCAGGTAGTGTAAGTGATGGGAGATATCCAGCTGCTTCCTTAGGCTCAAACTCGGTTCAGTCGGCGACGAGGAAGAATAGATTACCTACGAGCAGGTCGCCTCCTCCTGATGTGTCACCCGGTGTCACAAGAAAGCACAGCCCCTCATCCATCAGAAACAAGAGGCTGTCACCGCCTTCAAACCGCAAGGTAGGCCAAGCGAAGAACTGCGACCACAAGGTTGACACTGCAATTACACCTGATGCTACCCCGATCAAAGAGGTGACGGAGGAGAAGCTTCTTAAAGGAGGCAATCTGAGATCTAGGCTGGAAACAAGGAGGACGCTTTTCCAGGGCAATGAAGAGAGGGCAACCAAGTTGGCTGGAGCGAAAGCTGGCTCGCGAGTTGTTCCGTATGAATGTGGTAACATGGAAGAGATTTCTGAGGTTGAAGGTGGTTCAGAGAGGGCTCAGTCAGGTCTCAAAGATGAGGGCTTATCAGAGATAAGGTCACAGCTGCTTCAGATTGAAAAACAGCAGACTGGTTTACTTGACCTTCTCCAGGTGATTTTGCTTTTCTATGTTGGACATTATATTTTACAATTCTATTCAACTAGGACCATAAACTTTCATGTTAAGGGCAAGAAAATAGCTAGTGCTAGCTGTTCAAGCAGGTTTAGCATGTTCTTACGGTTTGCTTAGCTCATATTTATTAGCAAGAATGTACAATTGCTATTAAAAAATGGGAGTGGCTTGTCAGGATCTTTGGGCCTTTGAAAACACTGCAGAACTTTACACATGGCAATATGGCATTCCCTGCGAGCGCTACAGGTCTTGTAGCCATGAAACTTGTCTGCCAAAATTAATAAGTAAAAAATGCTCATTGCATTGGCTATTTTAAAGTGTCCTGAACTTCAGGCAAGCTAAGGTTTGCCTACAGTGGCCGTAGTCGGATATTCGATCGATATATTTGTGTTGGTGGTGCGAAGAGGGTACATTTATCTTTTATGTCTACGTGACACTAGTCAAATTGTGACATTGACAATTTCATGCTATAAGGGGAACCTGGACAGGAACATGGCTTATGCTATATGACAATGTCTTAATCTGCAATTATCATAATTTCGAATCTGACCTTGCAAAAAGTACGATCTTATTTAGGTATTTTGCTGATTTTACCTGAGTCTGTCATCCATCAGTTGATATTTCTGCGAGCCTTATACTCCTAGTAATTAGTAGCCATGGGCCTTATAAGCAGTAACTCACCTGACATGCTTCTGATATCTTACATGTGTATTGGAAGCTTATCTGACATTGTTGTTCATCTTATTTATCAGAAATTTATGGGGAAATCTGAGAATGGCATGAATTCTTTGGAGACAAGGGTCCATGGCCTAGAGATGGCATTGGATGAGATATCACGTGACTTGGCCGTTTCTTCTGAAAGGATGTCAAGCAGCGAGCCCCGTGTGAACACCTGTTGCATTCTGAGCCCAAAATTCTGGAGAAGGCATGATGGTGGTAGAAACTCTTCCAGATTCTCTGCCTCCAGTGTTCCAAACAGCTCGGAAGGGAGCAGAACTTCTTACAAGTGGGAAAGGCAGAAGTTTGGAGTTCAGGGTGGATTTGTCACCAACCCGTTAGCTGAGCCAAATATTTCTTCTGTTGGGAGAACTGCAGTTACTCAAGAAGGCAGGAGGAAGGATTTGGCTCTACAGAAGTCAAGGTATTTGTTTTCTTGTTCTAATCGTGATTGATAATCCACCTCTCTGCGATTTAGTCAGTGGGATCTGATATGGTGGTTGGGGCAATCAGATTTCCATATATGACAAATTATGAATTGACAATTACACATCAACGTAAAAGTTGTACCCCTCTTACATATAATATAGTACATCGAAATGGTGGTTGGGACAATAAGATTTCCTTGTATGACAAATTACAAACTGACAATTACGCAGCAACGTAAAAGCTGTACCTTTTTATATATAAAAAATTATATGGTACATTGAAATGATTATCAGGTAGTCCAGTTATGGCGCCATCTCTATATTACATGTGCGCAATGCATACTGGTGAAACTTTCCTTTACGAGACTGCTGGGGTTTCCTTATCATTTCCCACCATACCACGCTTAATATATCTCTATATTTGCCTAGCATTATTCCTCTGTGTCCCAACTACTTGACAACTAATTTCTCTATTTGTCCTAATAATTTCAGGGTTGGTTAGGTGAGATGAAGACATTTCGTTTGATGTACGAACCACTCAAGCTAGAGCATATAAGCATCGAGGCAGGTTTTTCTCCTCTGTCGGAGCTCCGAGCATGTGGCGTACATGGATCACGGAGATCCGAGTCTCTGCATTCAATGTCAAAGTCCCTGAGCTGGGTATTAAGTCTGAAGTAGAACTTGGCTTCTTGAGCTGCATCCTCACTTGGGGTTGAAGATACAGTGGCTGAGGCTCCTCTGTTATCCAAAACCTGTCTGAGGCGCTGGGGCATGAGATGAGGGACAGCCCTTGTCTTTTGTTCCTTCTACTCCGGACTACGACTTGCCAGTTGCCACTACTTCAGAATGGCTAATTTCGTGTAAGAATGCAGTCGTGATGTATCACCGTAAGGAACTTATGGATGTATATAGTTTGGATAATAAAACAGCTTGGCTTGGCCGTGATCCACCATTGTTTCAGGTGTGTTTTACAGCTTCATGAGATGGCAGTGTGCCTGGTAATTTTGGTTGTGTTACTTATTGTTATCAATGCTGCTTCACTGCCTCTGTGTACGCTATGAATTCCCTAAGTGTGGCACTCAGTACTCACTGCCTCCAATTAGCATTGTGAGTAGAGTGGAGGAGGTGGAGTTATATGCAAGTGGGAGCCCATTGTTGTAGCCCAAAAACTTTGCCAGAGGACCACCTGGATCGGTCCATGTTGCTGAGATTTATAGGCAAACACAAGTCCACGTTGCTGAGATTTAGAGGCAGGAGGGGCGCTTCTGCAAAAAAGAAAACGAACAAGAACAAGAAGGGCCTGGGAGGCTGCAGAACTGCATTATTATAAACATAACAACTACTCCCTCCATTCCTAAATATAAGTCTTTGTAGAGATTTCACTAAATGGACTATATATAGAGCAAAATAAATGAATCTACACTTAAATTGCATCTATATACATCCGTATGTGGTTTATAGTGAAATCTCTACAAAGACTTATGTTATCGAAAAAGGCTTTCGCCCCGCTTTATATATAAAGCAAAGATCAACAACATCCCAGTACAGACGCACTCCACCCCAACACACACACACCCAAGACGGGATACAAAGGTGTTGAGCGCAGCAACACGACCCCTAGCACTACAAGAGCAACCGGGGGCTCCATGAATGAACATGCCACCACGAAGAGATGAAGCCGCATACGACGAGCCATGGGCTTCAAGACGGTGCCTTCAGGAAGGTTACGACACCGGAGCGGCGCCACCGCCCGATCCAAGGATCAAAGTTTCTCTAGGAGCCACACGAAGACAATGAGAGCCGCGACGACGTCTTCAGGAAGGGAACGAGCTACGCCATCGCCGGTCCGTCCGAAGACAGAGCAGGTTTTCACCCCGGACAATACTCACCGCTAACGAACGCCGCACCCCGACAACCACGCCGCCCACACGACCATGGCCACCGGGCAACACCAAGTGACATGCTCTGCCCAAGAGCACCGCGCAACCACCACCAGGGCCGCCGCCCCGGCATCCGAGACCTAGATACCACCTCACCCGACACCCGCCGCTACCCCAACTGAAGAGACGATCGGAACCAGGGCAAGCCTCCATCGATTCGTCCTGCAACACCGGGCGCGAGATGAGCTAGGTCCTGCTGCCGGGCACGAGACGCGAGACAAGCTCAGTCCTGCTGCCGGGTGCGAGACGAGCTCTGTCCTGCTGCCCGAGCGTGAGACTAGTGATGAGCTGCAGCACGGAGAGGGTCATCCTTCAACGGAAATAGCACCCGGACGACGAGAAGATAGATGAAGGGCCGCCACAAGCCACCTACGGACGAGCCGACGCTGGTATAAGCCAGCCGCCGCCGCAGCCGACTTGCCAAGGCACCATGGAGCCATCCACGGCCAGAGCAGCAGCCGCCCCGGCCACTGCCCAACCCGCGCCGCCCGCGAGCTCCAGGCGTCGGAGCCGCCAGGCACGCACCCACGCATCCAGCCGTCCCCAAGCACCCCCCTCGAGTATCACCACAACACCGGAAGGACGGAAAGGCCCCATCTTGAGCAGGAGACCCCCGACCTCCCACAATCCAGCCCGCAATGGGCCCCTGGCAGCACCGCCAATCACCAGGAAAGCTGGATCCGACACCCATCCAGCCAGATCGGAGCGAAAGCTGAGGGGGAGGAGTCAGAGACGGCGGAGAGAGGGAGCCGCCGCCCGCCACCGCCAGCCGCCGCTCGCCACCGTGCGCACGCCGGCGCGCCGCCTTGCGCCCCGCCGCCGCACGCCGAAGCCTAGCCGCGCCACCACTCGCCCGACCACGCGCATTCGGGACACCGCCGACCGCCGCCCAGATCCGTCGCCCGCAGACACAGGTGAGCCGCGAGAAGACCTCCCGCCGCCGCCGTCTGCCGCGGGCTTCGCCGAGCGGCGTTTTTCGGCAGTGGCGCGAGGAGAGGAAGGAAGAGGGAGGTGGCGGCGCGCTAGGGTTGGGAGCCCCCGAGTCGCCTAGGGTAAACTTATATGATAAGATGAATAAAAGTAGATGGCGCTAGTTACTTTTATTTGCATCTTTTACTTTTCCAGCGGCAGACGGCGGTGGCGTGAGGAGAGGAAGGAAGAGGGAGGTGGCGGCGCGCTAGGGTTGGGAGCCCCCGAGTCGCCCAGGGCAAACTTATATGATAAGATGAATAAAAGTAGATGGCGCTAGTTACTTTTATTTGCATCTTTTACTTTTCCAATCTATATCATAAAAATACCAAAAATATTCATCTTATCATATTATCTCTATCAGATCTCACTTTCGCAAGTGATCGTGAAGGGATTTACAACCCCTTTATTGCGTTGGTTGCGAGGTTCTTGTTTGTTTGTGTAGGTGCGTGGGACTTTTGAGGAGCCTCCTACTGGATCGATACCTTGGTTCTCAAAAACTGACGGAAATACTTACGCTACTATTGCTGCAGCACCCTTTCCTCTTCAAGGAAAACCAACGCAAGCTCAAGACGTAGCAAGAAGGATTTCTGGCGCCGTTGCCGGGGAGGTCTTCGCTCAAGTCAAGACATACCAAGTACCCATCACAAACTCATCTCCCTCGCATTACATTATTTGCCATTTGCCTCTCGTTTTACTCTTCCCCACTTCATCCTTGCCGTTTTATTCGCCCACTCTTTTCCAATCTTCTCTCTCTTTCGCTTGCCTTTTTGTTTGCTTGTGTGTTGGATTGCTTGTCACGATGGCGCAAGATAATACCAAATTGTGTGACTTTTCCAATATCAACAATAATGATTTCCTTAGTACTCCGATTGCTCCTCTTAATGATGTTGAGTCTTGTGAAATCAATGCTGCTTTGCTGAATCTTGTTATGAAAGATCAATTCTTCGGCCTTCCTAGTGAAGATGCCGCTACCCATCTAAACAACTTTGTTGATTTGTGTGAGATGCAAAAGAAGAAAGATACGGATAATGATATTGTTAAATTGAAGTTATTTCCGTTTTCACTTAGAGATCGTTCTAAGACTTTCGTATTTGCCTAAGAATAGTATTGATTCATGGAACAAGTGCAAAGATGCTTTTATCTCTAAGTGTTTTCCTCCCGCTAAGATCATCTCTCTTAGGAATGATATTATGAACTTTAAACAACTTGATCATGAGCATGTTGCCCAATCTTGGGAAAGAATGAAATTAATGATTCACAATTGCCCTACTCATGGTCTGAATTTATGGATGATCATACAAAACTTTTATGCCGGATTTAATTTTGCTTCTAGAAATCTTTTAGATTCGGCTGTGGGAGGCACTTTTATGGAAATCATCTTAGGAGAAGCTACTGAACTCCTGGATAACATTATGGCTAATTATTCTCAATGGCACACCGAAAGATCTACTAGTAAAAAAGTGCATGCTATAGAAGAAAATAATGTTTTGAGTGGAAAGATGGATGAACTTATGAAATTGTTTGCTACTAGGAGTTCTCCTATTGATCCCAATGATATGCCTTTGTCTACTTTGATTGAGAATAATAATGAATCTCTGGATGTGAATTTTGTTGGTAGGAATAATTTTGATAACAATGTTTATAGAGGAAACTTTAATCCTAGACCGTTTCCTAGTAATTTCTCTAATAATTATGGAAATTCCTACAATAATTCTTATGGTAATTTTAATAAGATGCCCTCTGATTTTGAGAATAGTGTTAAAGAATTTATGATCTCTCAAAATAATTTTAACGCTTTGCTTGAAGAAAAATTGCTTAAAGTTGATGATTTGGCTAGGAACGTTGATAGGCTTTCACTTGTTGTTGATTCTTTGAAACTTAGATCTACTCCACCTAAGCATGATATCAATGAGTCTCTCAAAGCTATGATAATTTCCATTGATGAGTGCAAAGAAAGAACCGCTAGGTTGCGTGCTAAGAAAGATTGCTTTGTAAAAGCATGTTCTTCTAGTTTCCATGAAAATAATGATGAAGATCTAAAAGTTATTGATGTATCCCCTATTAAATCCTTGTTTTGCAATATGAATCTTGATAATGACGGGACTGGAGGTGAGTCAACTTTAGTTAAAAGCCGTCCCAATAATTTGGAGTTTTTAGATCTTGATGCTAAATTTGGTAAAAGTGGGATTGGAGAGGTCAAGACTTTAAATAGCATTGAACCCACTATCTTGGATTTCAAGGAATTTAATTATGATAATTGTTCTTTAATAGATTGTATTTCCTTGTTGAAATCCGTGTTGAATTCTCCTCATGCTTATAGTCAAATTAAAGCTTTTACCAAACATATTGTTGATGCCTTGATGCAATCTTATGAGGAAAAACTTAATTTGGAAGTTTCTATACCTAGAAAACTTTATGATGAATGGGAACCTACTGTAAAGATTAAAATTAAAGATCATGAGTGCTATGCTTTGTGTGATTTGGGTGCTAGTGTTCCACGATTCCGAAAACTTTATGTGATGTGCTAGGTTTCCATGATTTTGACGATTGCTCTTTAAACTTGCACCTTGCGGATTCCACCATTAAGAAACCTA